GGCTACTTTACATCACACAGGAACCGCTGGCAGGAAGCCCAAACATTCATAAAACCAGTCAATTTGGTCAGAGTGTAGCAAAGGGAGTGCAAGAGAAAAATCTTTCACTTTTATTAATTGATTTTAAGCCCAACTTAATTTTAGTATTTTTCTGCAAATTTTTAAGAAATAAGTATTCTATTTGACGCTAAAAGAACGTGACGTCACAATACACAATCTCGTACAAAATTCATAGAAAACTGTCGTTCGTGACAGTTCGAATAAAGTATTGAATTTGATTAGTTGGCAAGTACTCAATTTAAAATCTGTGGACAACGTTCAATTTAATTTTTGACATTATTTGTAAAGAGTTTCTGTCAAAAATGGCGTCCAATCCAGAGATTTTAGATTCAAGATCGGTCTTTTCTTATTTTCTTAACCCCTTGAATATAAGACACAATAGAAAAGCCATTGTGTCTCGCGTGGATCCACGTTTAGACACACAATGGCTTAATGGCAACTGAGTCTCCAGTACAATGTCGTCGACTATACTGCCAATGTCGAGAGCCGACCACAGATTAATAAATCGTCGAACTTTAACTTTGTCGTAGTTGATAGTAGCTAGATGTAAGCATCATCCAAGAGTAACGAATGGAGTTTCTTGCTCGTTCTTCTCCATTCGAATCTACTTTTTGGAATGAGCACCTAGTTTCACAGACGGACTGACTGACAGACTATTATTTATTTTGTATTTGTTGAAGTTTCAAAAGTACCAAACTATGGTTTAATTGAAATAAATGCTTTGACTTTGACTTTGAAGCTCTTGAATCCAATCGGGTACTTGCCAACTACAATACATTTTTCGTCGAACTGACAAAAACGACAGTTTTCTATGAAATTTTGTGCGAGATTGTGTATTGTGACGTCACGATAGTTGATACTTATTTCTTGGAAATTTGCTGGAAAAATACTAAAATTAAGTTGGTTATAAAATCAATTAATGAAAGTGTGATTATTTTTCAATAATGTATTCAGTTTTGTATTGAACAGACGCATTTTTTTTTATTAAGCTTAATACCCAACTCCGATCGGTCGACATTAGTATTGTGATGTTTCGAACTTTTGAGTTGCAACACTAGCGCCCGTAGCATCCGTACTGCGTGGATATTGAATGAACTAAATGGTGTTTATATTAACGACTTGAAACTAGTCGAGTTCCTCGTCAAACAATTACGTGAGTAAGCCGAAAATATAATAATGAACTAAATGGTATTGAGTTTAGCTTTATATTCCGTACTGTGAATGCTATTTTAACAGCAGAGCTACGATTGGGGTTGTATAATGTTGACATTGAATAATTATTGAGATTGCATTTGATTGAAATTACGTTGACATTGAGATTGGTTTCAAGAGTAAGCGCCCAGGAAGGGCAAATACATTCTGAAGGGCTAATGTCAGTCGTTCTGCGTAAAAATACTGAAATAAAAACTGTCCTTACCCACCCCCCTCCCTTTACAAAATATAAAACCACATGCAACTGTACAGTATGACTTGTAACTCGACGTATTCCTCTCGGGAGGTGATAGTACAACTAATGTCCTACAGAATTAGCCCTGAGGTCTCACGTCCGAAAGTGGCTAGTTTCTGAGATATTTTGTCCAATTTTTGGTGAAAAAATCCCGATCGAACTACAAAAACATCAATAAATAAAAAACTACTGGCTTGATTTAAGTGATTTTAGTTTTAATTTGTTGTCAATACATCAAAATACATTTATTAATCTCAGGGCTAATTTTATAGGAAATTGGTTGTATTATCACCTCCCGAGAGGAATACGTCGAGTTACAAGTCACCATGTATAGTGGCTAATCTAATTAGTCCGTCAGTTAGATAATGAAAAAAATATTAGACACGTATTTTTAATTTCTCGTATAAAGTTACAAAACTTAGATAAAATGAAGTTAAGGTTAGGAGTGGGACGTCGTGACGTCACACGACATTTCAAATAAACATATCGTCGAAAGTTTTAATTAGTAATTTTGTGAGAAAAGATAAAATACGTGTCTAATGTTTTAAATTAATCTACCAGACGGACATTAAGATAAAATTTAGGATACTACCCTATTCTTAAGCCAATTGAACACGGTCTAGTCTTTTACCAATCACCATAGGAATGGCGACTATTGCCTTGTACCAAATTGATTGGTATAGGAACCTATTTTTAATTCACTTTTGACCGACTTCAGAACAGGAGGTTCTTAGCGTGACCTGAGGGCTTAGTACCAGTTTGTTTTACGTTAATTAAAAGTAATCGAAACGAGACTGCGTTCGGCGCTCTGATTGGTTGGTACATTGAAGCCGGCCAATCAGAGCGCCGAACGCGTACTATATGTATGTTAATTAAGACTCGCGAGTTACTAACGTGAACATACTGAGAAAAGTTGTACTAGTATCGAGCCACAGAGTGGTTCTTCCTCATGAGCATGAGCGGCGATGTCGCGCAGCCTACGTACGCTTTTCTCAGTACATTCACATGAGTAACCCGCGATTTTTAGTTAATTTAGTATGTCTCACGATAGTTATTATAAAACAGTGTATGTACGTATGTATATAGACGGATATCTCGCGATTAACTGAACCGATTTCGATACGGTTTTCAGCAGTCTTTGTTTATACTTACGAATAAATTTTAGTTGACTTCAAAACAAACGGTTTCTTGTAGTTTAAATCGCGGGTAAAAGCTAGCATCTGTTAGAAAGAAATATATATGTTATAATCATCATCCCTCCCTAACATATAGAAGTTTTATTGATATGTTTGTTTTCGGCTCGCGATTAGTCTTACAGTCTTTTAAAATAGCCACGATATAGTCGGCCTGAATGGAGAATGTTAACGTTTTTACATATATGTGTAAATGAAGCTCACTGTTCTTAATTGAATTTCCCGCGCTTTGGATTCATACGCTATCTGTGGACAGAATATATAGAAGTGACGTCACGCGACATTTGAAATTAATATATCGTCGAAAGTATTCGTTTCTGTAAGAAAATAAAAAACACGTGTCTAATGATTTAAAATAATCTACCAGACGGACATTGAAATAAAGATTAGTCATCTACCCTATTGATCTGTATGTACATACACTTAGTTTTGTTACAATCAGAACTGACCGAAATACATGCGTCTAAATGTTTAATGACTTGCAGTTTTCATACATACGTTTTACTGTGACGTCATAGCACAACGTCCCATATATATATATATATATATATATAGGTATATTCTTAAACATAATGAGAGGTAGTAGGTAGGTAACAGTCATTACTAGTAAAGTCAAAGACACACTAAGGGACAGATGTCGTACGACATGTATCGGCGACATTGCAACCGAAGCCGGCCGACTCCGGCCGACATATTACAAGGCGACAACGCGCGCCTTATGTCCACAGCGACGGCGACGTTGCCAGACGTCGACCGAAGTCTGACAACGTCGCGCTACTCCACCCGACGTCGCTCGCGACACGTGTCGCAGGACATTCGTCTTCTAGTGTATCCTTGTGTAAGCTAATCATATTTATTTAACATATATTACATAACATCACGCCTTTTATCCGCGGAGGGGTAGGCAAGGGTGCACATTATGCCACTGTACAATGTAACACCAACTTTCCACTATTTATGTTATGAGTCCCATGTAATAGGGGGTGAGAATATTGCCATATACCGGGCACAATTCCAGACTCCGTGCTACTACTGAGAATTTTTAAAAACCCAGTAATACTTTGCCCGACCCGGGAATCGAACCCGAGACCCAGTTTAAACATATAAAACGTTCACATAATTATAGTTATCATTAATATTTAGTTTAGTTTTCATTTCGAATTGTAAACTAAACACAAACTTTATTTGAGTGCACGGTTGGTGCGGCGGCTGGGCAACGTGTCGCGGGTTCGATTCCCGCACGGAACAACACTTTGTGTGATCCACAAATTGTTGTTTCGGGTCTGTGTGAAAAATATTAATTAATTACAACAAATTTGAATTAATGATAACTATAATTATGTGAACATTTTATATCCATCTTTCTATATATAATTCTTCTGTGAGTGTGTATGTCACTGAACTTCTCTCAAACGACTGGACTGATTTTGATGAAATTTTTTGTGTGTGTTCAAGGGGACTTGATGGGGACTTTTCATGGGAATGGTTTCTGGGAATGGTTTAGATTTAGATTCCCGGCAGATGGCGCTGCAGTCGATGCTTAGGTTATTTATCCTAAACAGCTGACCTAATTTGAATTTTTTTTTTATACATTCAAGTGGATATGCAGAACAACGTCTGTTGGATCCGCTAGTCTATATATAAAAATGAAACCCGTGTCCCGTTATCACGCCATAACTTGAGAACTGTTAGACCGATTTGGCTGATTTTTATTGTTGTGTTTGTTATCGTCAGAAAAAGGTTCTTATAACAGAAAAAAGTCCTGAAAATCCTACGGGAATGGGAGAAACGGGATTGCGCGTACGAAGTCGCGGGCCGAAGCTAGTGTTTACATAAATATGATTAGTTTACACTTGGGTTTATGATAAATTATTATGTTTTCGGCTTACTCACGTAATTATATGACGCGGCGACTGTCGCGCTGCTACAGCTCTGTACAGCGCGACAGTCGCCGCGTCGCGGGTCGCGAAATGCTGCTCATGAATATGAGCCTCTAGCATGGCTTGAAACTAGTCGAGTTCCTCGTCATATAATTACGTGAGTAAGCCGTAAATATAATAATTCATTTAGTATGTCTCACGACAGTTATAATACAAATATGGCTTTATGATATTCGAGATACAAACGCTTCGATACTTTCTTCATTGTACGTTACAGTAGCACTCTCCATTCGAAGCAAATGAGAAATACGTGTAGCGTTTAACAAGTTATTGAAATATATTCCGATGTAAAATGGTGGTTATTATTGTATGTTATGAGAGCAATACTTAGGAAATAACACACGGTATGTGCTATGTGTGTTACGCTAACAAGAGGTCATCGTCCCGCGTCTTGTGCTTCAGGTATCTGAACATTCGCCTGAAATAGAGGAAACATTCATTAAAGAATTAATTAATGTAGAGGTAACATATTTAAGAAATCACTATTTAATGATAAGACCGCCTTTGTGCCCATTATTTTTATTTAAGTTTGTCATTTCCTTTTCTGTATGTGCTATATTATTAATGGAGTACAATAAAGTTGTATTCCATTCTATATTTGTTTCTCTCTCTCTCTCTTTTCGATGTTTTCCTTAACCGTATGTCAGAAAAAGTCACATTGGTACTTCCCGTTGGTAGGTTTCGCACGCGTCCTCATGCGGGCGTCTTAAACCTCCGGGCTACCACGACTAGTAGTTTCATTTACTTGTAATTAAATAACATAAATAACATTACGCCTTTTATGTATTCGATGTAGGTAGGTACTAGGTAGAGGTAGTATTATATATACATACCAGATAGTCCTCGGCGCGTGTCCCCAGTCCCGGGGCGTGTGCGCGAGCGCGCGCGCGACGTCGTGGTCGTGCACGGGCACGTCGGACACGACGCGCGCCACGCGCACGCAGCCGGCGCGCGGCCACGGCGCCGCCCGCCCGTCGTCCACCACCAGCTCCACGCGCATCGACACCTCCCACACCGAGCGGAGCGGGATGTTCGCCACCTGTGCACATTACGGTACTTAATGCCATTGCACAGTGTAACACCCACTTTTCACTATTTATGTCACGAGTCCCATGTAATAGGGTGTGAGCCTATTCCCATAAACCGGGCACAATTCAAAACTCGGTGCTACTACTGAGAATTTTTATAAAACCTTAGTAATTTGGTTTGATTTCCGCACGGAGCAACTCTTTGTATGATCCACAGATTGTTGTTTCGAGTCTGGGTGTCATGTGTATGTGAACTTATATGTTTGTAAACGTACCCATGACACAGGAGAAAATCAGTAGTGTAGGGGCAACATTTTTTTAGTGATATGACTACACAGCTTGGCAGCAGCACATTTATATTGCAATGTAATTTATGAATATGAAGACATTCAGATACAATGTAAATTGTTTAATGAATGTATGCAATGAACAAACGTTTTAAGCAGAAAAAAAGGCAAAGATTGGGATTATAGGAAAACTATACAAGGTGTAGTTTTGAAGCCGTGTCATTTCTCGGGGGCATGTCACAGAAGTCATATGGGTTCAATGTAAGAGAAAATTTCGGGCCAATAGTTAAAAATACGGCTATAATAAATCATTGAAGTTGGACAGTATTTCAAAAAAAGCGACAGCAATTGGAGTTTTATGGAATTAGGAATAATATTAATTACGTTTTTGAGTTTGTGTGTGTTATGCCGCGTTATAAAGCTAGTTACAAGACGGCGGCGTGTAGTTCACACTTACGGATTTAATAATTTACAGAAAAATTAAAAAATTTACCTACCATTTTTTTATTGATTTGGACTCAGAATCGATATCCGAGTTACCTCCTAGAAAATGACGCGGCTTTAAAACAACACCTTGTATATAGGTAACATTTAGGGCCGATTTATCACTCAACAAATAATTCTTAACTGTAGAATAAAATTGACATTTGCTGACAGTATTTAGTATGGAAGAATATGGTAGCTTCCTAAATTTTATTTCAATCTCCGTCTGGTACATTAATTTAAAACTTTAGACACGTATTTTTCTTTTCTCACAAAATTAAATACTTTCGACGATATTTTAATTTGAAATATAGTGTGACGTCACAGCGTGCCACATTTTGTAGCACGTTATGACGTATCGACCTCCCACTCCTAAACTAAGCGCCATTTTATCTAAGTATGGCAACTTGATACGAGAAAATAAAAAAATACGTGTCTAATATTTTTTCATTATCTAACTGACGGTCTAATTAGATTTTTAATTTTGATACCCTGGAAACTACCCAATTGTCGATTCTTCAAAATTCTATCTGTGGCAAAAGGGCATTGACTAAAATTGGTGCCTTTCTTTTTTCTGGCGGCAGTCGATGATTTATGGAAAATATTATCTAGAATGACATTACAAACGAAACTGTCTATGAGCTCATATATATGGAAATCTCAGTCTGGACTGAGTTATGAGCGTTGAAAGGAGCTGGATTAAATCATTTTACTTTGGTTTTTTTATTCAAATTATTCATATTTTTGTCACAACTAATAACTTCAAATTGCGCGCCACTGTACGCCGGAATACCATATCACACCACAATATATCCATATTGCCAGGCACTAATTTTTATAACCTATTTTCTCTCAGTCGATAACTTGTATAATGTTTCTAGGAATTGTGTCATGAAGCTTCATGAGCGTCAGCTGTGGTACCATTGGTGGGTTAAGTTGTGGTAGCCGTCCAAACATCTAATAAAGTATTTTTTTTTTGCAGTTGACTCCTGATGGGAGACTCATCTACTTTATAGTTGGCATAATCTTTTGAAGAAAGGAAACCGTCGACTTTATAAAGTGATGGACTATACGTCAGAGGCCTTAGTACAAGTTTGATTTACGTTTAAAATATTCGAAACGAGTACGCGTTCGGCACTCTGATTGGCCGGCGCCAATGAACCAACCAATCAGAGTGCCGAACGCGTACTCGTTACGATTACTTTAAACGTAAAACAAACTCGTACTAAGGCCTCTGATGACTGATGGATGGATTTTTTCATATAATGTGGTCAGTCGAAATATAATCCATCACTTTATGACTGAATGACGATATCTTTGTATAGAATCTTATGCTAGCTGGATTAAAGTTTTTAGAGAACAGAGAGTATAGTTTCCTAAGGTCGGAAAAGGAGGATCCTCCGACCAGGCGAGGTGATCGTGCCTGGCGGGCTTTCTGCCCAACAGTTGTTTGTTGAGTTTTTCTATCCATGTTTATTCGCTTGTAAACTTCGCATGTGCGATGTAGGATTTTATGACGTCATCCGTTGGTATGTACCATGTATCGCCACATCACTCCCTCCCAAGACCGGAGGTCGATCCCGCTGAGACGGCTGTCGATGCTTGAGATGAGCGGTGCCAGAACCAGTGTAGAATGTCCCTAGTTCTAGTGAGTCAAAACTGTGCCGCTGAGTGCCCAGTGAGTCGGTTGAGCGGTGCAGGGTGAAACTCCAGTGAGTGGAGAGATGAGTTCGCAGTGTCCCACGGTGAGTCGGGGAATAGATGCTGCCAGGGTAGGTGCGTACTTAGTGGCTGGCGTCTGCGTTGACGGGAGGAGATGTCCTTCAGAACCGTGTGCAGGAGTGCTGTGCCTAGACGCTGCGCTGGTGAGGCTGTAGGGCAGAACCAGGCTGCACAACTTCGTTGCATGCAATGGTGGTCCCTGATGAGGCCGAGGATGCTGGTTGGCTGCGACTTGATTACCGCTCAGCGGAGAAGTGATGGATGAGAGGGATGGCGATAAGGATGACGGTGCTGATCTGCTTCGTAAAGTGAAAGTAGCTTCCAATCACGTCGGGGTCACCACTTTAAGGAACAGAGAGTATAGTTCCCTACGATCGGAAAAGGAGGGTCCTCCGACCAGACGATTTTCATATCTTTGAACTGATTTAACTCGGTTTGGACTGTGTTTTTGTGATATAAGACGCCATATATTTTTTTGTTTGTAATGTTATTCTGCATCAATTTTTCCACATCCGACCAACTGCCGCGGAAAAATGAAAAGGCACCACGCTCCATATAAATTTGGTCATTGCCATTAATCTGGCGTTGGTAATACCGGCCCTTAGTTCTGAGATGGTTCAGGGGCGGTTGGGGAAAACGGCCATTAAGGCTTTGTCTGCCAATAGAAAACCGATCAAGGAAAACCGCCTCGTCGTCAACGGTGATCCCAGTTTAATGTGTTAAACTGGGGCCATTCATGTATTACGTAGCACCATGGGGGGCTGGGGGGTTTGTGTTTTGCTTATTTTGGATGATACGGGGGGTAGGGAGGTCTAGGTGATGATTACGTCATCGGTAGTTATTTACTTTTTTACACGAATGGCAACCCTCATATTGAAGTTATAAATTACAAGCAAAGACCGACAAAGAACTAGACATTATGGTATCTAAGAGAATATTAAAATTACAATATAAAAAATATTTACGTAAGCAAAAGGGGAGGGGATGGGATCTAGTTGCTTACTTTTGCTGACAAGGGGGATGGGGGGGGGTAAATAATTGTAAATAATCTGCTTACATAATATTTGAACGGCCCCACTCCTCTGATGTTGCGAGTGTCCATAAGCGACGACTTGCTTACCACCTTATAACTGATTTGTGAACTTAGTAATCCCATAAAAATGAAAACCACATACCTTCAGCGTCAAATATCCATCATTATCCATTGTGTAAGCAAGATGTAGCTTCGCGTCATGCATGGCTCGTCCCCAGCGCAACGCGACGCGAGCGACAGCGGCACAGCGACGCAACAACGGAGGAATGTCTGACGCCACGCAGCATGAGCCGCGGCACGCGCGCGACACCATGTAGCGCATCGTTTCACATGCGAAGCGAACACACATCGTTGCTACTGGATTCTTCTTGTCTGAAAATTCAAATTAAAAGTAGGTACCGTAGTTTGAAATAAAGATTCATTATTTTAATTACATTTTTTACAAGTCACTAGCTACTTCCGCGCAGTTTCACACGCTCTGCTCAGCTCGTATTCGTCGTAGCGTGATGTTTTATAGCCTATAGCTATACTCGATAAATGCGCTATCCAACACAAAAATAATTATTCAAATCAGACCTGTAGTTACGGAGATTAGCGCGTTCAAACAAACAAACAAAAAAACAAACTCTTCCGCTTTATATAATAGTATAAGATAAGATTACAAGGCCACCATTCGGTAGAGGGCGCCCTAGACATACATACGTTGACCAGATTGGCAATATATTAAAGGGCCAAATTAAAAGTACCCTTAACCGACGAGCATGCATGAAAATATTGATCACTGTTGAGGAAGCGACAGAAGAGGTATTTAAAAATCATAGCAATTGCTGTTCCATTACTGCTATTACTGCTTACCCCCATGGGACAGAGGCGTGAGGTTATGTATGTATTGGAGGTCACATCCCCAATACCGAAATCACCAAATCTCTAATCCCAATCCCCAAGAGGCCGGTAAAGCACGTGTATACCTAACCGCCGCCCGCGCGCCGGCGGCGTGCTTACAATCTTTTGTTTCCGAAGCAAAAAAGCCCTGCTGAGGCCGTGCGGTGACCTTTATTTATATAATAATGTTATTGTTAAGGCTTAGTTATATTACCCTAATGTATAATGCACGCGACCACAAAGCCTGTGGTACAGATTTAATTCTATACAGGCATAGTATTGTAACCTACCTAGAATAGTTAAATAATAAGCTTAGATTAAGTATATGTGAACAAAATGGAAATAAATATATTTGTTTGTTTATTTGTTTGTTTACGCTCATTCCTTCTCCGTGTAAGAAGGGGCTTTTGTCCAGGAATGTAACAGTTACATAGTTATATTATAACTTTAGTGAGACGTACTAAATTAATTATTAAGTTGATTTGATTACGAATATAAGCCTCCATTCTCCTCTGGAGACCCATACAGTGGTCTGACCAAATACCCAAGGAGTTGGGAGATACCCTTGAATGTTGCAATGTATCAAGCAACGGAACGAGACCAGTTTTTTTTTTTAAGGGGGGAAAATCATCGAATGACTGCTCCCGCCTGGGTGAGGCGGAAGGGAGTGTCAGACTCTTACTGACTAAAAACCACCCCGTTCCTTCTCCTGCACGTCGAGCCGGAGCCCCGGTTACCCGTTAGGTTCTCCGCGACTCCGAATCGGCATCGGCCCTATTGGGCCCCATCTGTGGTGGTCTGATGGCTCTTTGAGGCGCGCGCGGAACGCTACGCGCCGTACGCTCGGGTCTGTTTCTGGTCGGACGGGGAGCCACCCATGCTCGCCGTCCGCAGTCCCGCGCTTACGGTGGCCGGAGATCGTCCCGCAATCCCCGACGCCCGGTGTGTCCTTCGCGATGGCTGGGTTGCGAGGAGGCAGCGCTTCGCTGCCTCACGCGTCCCCCCTCCTCCTTAGCTAGCATGACTGCTTCGCAAAAGGAGGAGACGGCATCCCAGTCCCCCTCGCTCCGCATCATGGCCTGGACTAGGCCCGGACGCGAGAGGTCGCCATCGCCGATCACTTCCCTGAGGGCACGGCGGTGCTCAGCCCACGCAGGGCATTCCGCAACAGTATGTTCCACCGTGTCCTCAGGGCGGTCCTCGCAGTGATAACACCCGGGCGTTTCCTCCCGCCCCATCAGACACAGGTACCTCCCGAAACTTCCATGTCCGGTGAGGACCTGTGTCAGGCGGTAGGTGAGGACGCCGTAGCGTCTCTCAAGCCACTCCTCAAAGAGGGGACTTACTGCTGCAATGGCAGCGAGCCCAGCCCTCTGTTGCGACAGTCGTTGCTGCCATTCCGCCATGAGATGGCGCCGGAGCTCATCCCGCCACGCACTTATTTGGCGCGGCAGCGGAGTTTCGCCCCGGCGACGTGCCTCCGCGCGCATGTTATACACGCGCGCGAGCACCTTCGCCTCCAGATCCCACGGCGGTAATCCAGCAAGGAGGTTCGCCGACTCCCCAGAGATCGTGCGGTATCCGCGGATCATTCGAATCGCCATGACCCTCTGTGCCATAAGCAGCGCCAAGCGGGCCGCCGCAGCAGGTTCGGCGCCCAAACAGGGGCGCCGTAGATGGCCATGGACCGCACGACCCCGGCGTATAACCTCCGGCAGGAGGCGTTTGGCCCCCCGAGGTTGGGGAACGAGACCAGTGGCTACACCTATAGAACAAAATCAGGAGTCACGATCAGTGAGGGAATCGACTAAGAAGATGAACCTCTAGCATGGCTTGGAACTAGTCGAGTTTCTCGACAAACAGTTACGTGAGTAAGCCATAAACGGAATAATTAATTCAACATAACATCACGCCTTTTTATCTCCGAAGGGGTAGGCAGAGGCGCACATTGCGGTACTTAATGCCACTGTACAATCTAACACCCACTTTTTACTATTTATGTTATGAGCCCCATGTAATAATTAATTCAGTTATGTGCTACTAGCTTTTACCCGCGGCTTCGCTCGCGTCACAAAAGGATAAAAAGTAGCCTGTGTGACATATACCAATACACACAGCGCCATCTATACCAGTACTTTTGTTTTCCTTCGGGAATATCAAATTTTTCCGGGATAAAAAGTACCCTATTATTTAATCCAGACTTCTAACTTTACCTCTGCAAAATTTCAAAGCAATCGGTTCAGTAGTTACGTCGTGAAGGCGGAACAAAGAAACAAACAAACAAACAAACTCACTTTCCGATTTATAATATATATAAGTAAGGAAGTAAGGATTGATGATGAATGGTACAGAATCCTGCTTACCATGTTGCACAGTTTCCACGGTAATATCCAGCACTGGCGTGTCTCCCCGCACCCTCGTCCTGGTCGCGTTGTCCAGTCGGTGCGCCAGACGAGCGGTCAGTCGTAATCGACCGTGCAGGAGACGGAAAGACCACGTATCGGCTGATGATGACTCCCATTCGCATTCATGACTCCTGGTATATAAATTACTAACTGTAGTAAACTATACTTCTTTCAAAATAACATTACTAAACTGTGTAACAGTTTAGAAAATCATTTAAACTGTCCATGCAAGCGATTTTGACCCTTATCCATTTAATCTGTGAAGTGTCGGCACACGGATCTCCGCGAGATACAATGTTTTCTACTATTTCTCGTATATATCGACAGACATTTAAGTATGGGAGAGCCATGCTTAGGAACGAATGGGTCGGCTCGACCAGAGTGATGAAACCGGCGTGAAACAACGCTTGCGTTGTGTTTCGTCGTATGAGTGAAGTTATCGGAGGCCATATTACCCAACAATCCTTAAATTCTTAATCCCCAAAAGGCCGGTAACGCATTTGTAACACCTGTGGTGTTTCGGGAGTCCATGGGCGACGCCGATTGCTTACCATCAGTCTGCTCATTTACCGGTTAGGTCCATAAAAAAAAATTGGTAGGAGATGGTATAGACGTGGATCTAAAAATATTATAATCAATGGAAACTTACCCCATGAACGGCAGCATATCGATCTTAGCGACAACATTGACGCCAGAATCAGAGTCACTCAAATTCGAACTTATAGCGCTGATCACCTCCGGGTGCCATTCCATCTTGCTAGCTTTTTGCATCTCTTGCGAAAACTGTTGAGAATGCGTCGAGGAACTATACACATCTACCGCGTTCAAATTCTTACTGCTAGTGAACGAGCTGACAAAATCCAAGCTATTGCTGCCGACATCAGACTGCGATGGGTGTTTCGAGCATTCCGACTTCGGCGACTTCGGCATCAAAGCGTCTAACAAATGTTTGTCAATGCCAGAATCCACAGTGTGATATTCAGTTATCAACTGTTGTACAGTTATATTCGCGGGAGACTTTTTCTCTTTTTTCGGAGAACGTTTTTCAATTACCCTCGATGTGTTAGCTTGCTTCTCAGGCAGTTCAGTTATGTCCTTCTCCGCAGCCAAATGCTTGATGCCTTCATGTATTTGGACTTTACATACTTTAGGAGTTATTGATATTTTCTGTATTTTCGTACTCGGTTTCGGCGTCACATCAAGAGACGATTGTGAGTTTTTATACTTATCTCTATCGTTCGGACTGTATAAACGTTTTTTGGCTTTAGTGCATAACGGAGAATGCTCCATCAATTCTTCTGTTGACTCTAGTTTCTCATTCTCTGTTTCGCTCTCTTCTTTGACGGGAGATTTTTTCTTACGGCATGCTGTTATTTCATGCGAATGTATTGTGCTGTGACTGTGAATATTTCCGTAGTATCGAGGAGGGAGAGGGTCGTCAACTAGTGTTAGGGAAGAACTAGCTTCGAGTAACTCCTTGTTGCCTTTCATGGCAATCAGAGTGTTGGCTTCATTGTCTTTGACTTGCAATGTCTGAGCCGCTATCGTCTGGTCCGTTGAGATCGGTCTACTGTTACTAGAGCGCATGCTTTGGTCTTCCTTACAGCCGCCGTCTCCTTGCATGGCCTGCTGCCTCGACTCCACGCAAAATTGTGTCATCACGAGATCGATTTCATGCTCTTTTTTACGACTATCTTCGAAGTGAATCAACGCGGCCCGACTGGGATCAGAGCCGCATAATGTGTCATTAGATTTCTTAGGATTATACTTGTGGGCGTCCGAATAATCCATTGTACTTAGAAGGATGTTGTTTAAAGGATTCAAATGATCAAATACAAGCACTTTCGAAGGGATCGACTGATCTATAGGCTGGCGATGAAATATGTATCTCTGTCGCGGACTAGGTACCTCAAATTCAGAGGATTTTTCAGAAGAATTAGAGGTAAACTTCAGCGGACTCCTAAAGGAACGCGATCTTGATTTATTCAGAGTATGACCGGCTAACGCACTCATTTTATCGGATTCGTAATTCGACTCAGGGTACGAATCTAACTCGGAATCAATATCCACTTGGCTCGATGTGATTAGGTTAGCCTGTATCTGCGTGCTCTGCGTCGAAGGATTCTTCCTAACGCCTTTGTCGGCTGTGCCATCAAACGGCACGTTATCTGCCATAGGCTTCACTAGATCCAGCATGAGCTCCTTTATACCATCCGAAACATCTTTCAGGTAGGTCGGAATGACTTTAGCTTTACTTTCTATCATGTACGAAGTTTCCCCGAAAGCAGTTTTCTTTAGAGGGGAGTATTTTATATCTGCCTTGATGTCGTTCTCGCTCAGAGACTCATCGTCAAAGTGCAAAGTCTTTACGACTTCATTGCTCGTGCGATCAGCTTTTTTGGACGAGGCAGTTGAGGAATCTTTAGTATCATCCACGCATTCGCTGTCATCAAGCGCTAACCGCGACTTCTGCAGCGCTGCTTGCGCCATGGAGATGTTATTCAACAAATCTTCTCTACTCAGTACAATAGACTGGCGTTTTGGAGCAAAACTCAGCCTTTTAGGCTCAACCACCTCAGCCTTATCCTCTACAGGCGGTGGACCTTTGACTTTCATGACAATCGGTTGATATTCGTCCTCGTCTTTTTCAGTAAAATCGGATATCATATCCAGCAACTCCTTAGTATCGTTAGCTTTTTTGAAAATCTCACTCCGCTCCCGTATTTTGGATTTCTCTTCTTCTCTGACGGCATGTTGGATATCCGAGTTAACGACTCTCTCGTAAAATTCGTTTATTATTGAAGAATCTTTCACTTTTGTTATTGATGTTTTTAATTGTTCTATCTTCTTCTCAAGGCTACTGATTTCTTCGTCGTCTTCTTTGTATGCTATTGGGGTCGACGGATTGTCTTTAAGCGATGCCTCAGGGCTCTTCCCATCTCTATCAGCCTGTATGTCATCCTCGCTATCTTTCGTCACATAAAACATGCTTTCGCTAGAAATATTACTTGTCTTATCATCCCTCTTTTCTGAAACTGTATGCGTTGAGTCTAACTGGGTCATTAGATCCTTATCCTCCGTGCCTCCCTCAGTGATGGACATATCGAGTAGAGCATCGAGTACAGACTTCCCGCTCTCGATTTTTACCGATTCTTTCAATTCTACACTTTCAGGTTTTGTTTCAGGGGCATCGTCTGTTTTCTCGTCAACGGCCATTGCTGAATTGTTTGTTTTAAGAACTAATTGGTCACTCCGCTCGGCCACTCTCGGGTGCATGAGCGAGACATCCTCACTGTTCAACTCTTCTACAGACTCAGGACAATCTTTATTATCTGAAGTTGTTATCTTGGAGTCCGTAGCGCTAGTCACTGATTGGTTTTTCAGGTCCCCTTGTTCAGTTAAAGCCGGCGGCGCACTATTGGCCGTTGCTGTTTGGTACACTAAGACATCTGTGGGTGGATTCGTCGAATTCCCAGTCTCTAGATTGTCCGCGCATTTTGATTTGTTCATAATTTCATTTTCAAGATGTACTAACTCTGCTGGTATGGGTTTTGTAATCGACATGTTACAGCTATCGTCATTATCGTATAGAACAGTATTTTTAACTTCTTCTTGTACTTCTACTTTCGCTATAGCTTCTATTATGGACATATTACCATCTTCTTCGTGTGAATGTACATTATTTTTATTATCCAAAGGCGCTTCTTCTTTTGCCACTGGCATTTCTTCATACGTCTCATAATTGATCACATTCTCATCCACCTCCTCAACTATCTCTGGCAGTTTAACACTCTGTTCGACTGCTGAATCTAGTTTGTCCAGAAGGAAGACATTGGTAGATAACGCAAGAGTCATCGATTCATCAGCTTCATCATCATCAAAAACAATAGTCTTTTTCATACTAACAGTCTCATCGATAATTTTTGAGGACACCGCTTCGGGCATAGACACATCATCATCTTCTTTATCGACGACAACAGTCGTTCGTTTGGGATTCTCCAATAACTTAGTAAAAGAGATATCATCGCTACTTGTCTTGCAACTCTCCTCGCTACTCTCAGCTATAATAGGGGCGGGAATCGCTTGCGTGATAGAAATGTTGCCAGTATCATTTTCGTAGACAATCGTCCTCCTTCTTTTATCACTGTCTTTAGGTGAGCATCGAATGTTGGTAGCAAAGAAATTAAATTGATCGGTAATTTGAACTCTTTCTAGAATTACGTTCGATTGTAGAGCTTGTGTGATGGAGATGTTGCCAGTTTCGTTACCATAGACGACTGTTCGTCTTCTTTCGGGTACGGGGTCTTCTTGTTCGAGTATTAGATTCGTTGGTAAAGCTTGTGTTACTGAAATATTGCCTATGTCGTCTTCGTAAATGATCGTGCGGCGTCGTTCCTGCGCCGGTTGTTCAGGCAACATTATATTAGCAGGCAAAGCTTGAGTAATGGATACATTGCCTGCATCATCATTGAAAACTATAGTTTTTCTTTTTTCTATTGCGTTATCTAGGATAACGTTGGTAGGCAACGACTGCGTAACAGATATATTCGCTTGATCATCTTCAAAAACTATAGTTTTACGTTTTTCTTTAGTCTTATTATCCAGGATAACGTTGCTAGGTGGCGCCTGTGTGATCGAAATATTCTCTTGAGCTTCTTCAAAAACAATGGTATTTCTTTTTTCTTTTGCGTTGTCCAGGATAACGTTACTAGGTAACGCCTGCGTAACAGATATGTTTGCTTGTTCATCTTCAAAAACTATAGTTTTACGTTTTTCTTTAGGGTTATTATCCAGGATAACGTTGCTAGGTATCGCCTGTGTGATCGAAATATTCTCTTGAGCATCCTCAAAAACAATGGTATTTCTTTTTTCTTTTGCGTTGTCCAGGATAACGTTACTAGGTAACGCCTGCGTAACAGATATGTTGGCTTGTTCATCTTCAAAAACTATAGTTTTACGTTTTTCTTTAGTGTTATTATCCAGAATAACGTTACTAGGTAACGCCTGTGTGATCGAAATATTCTCTTGAGCATCCTCAAAAACAATGGTATTTCTTTTTTCTTTTGCGCTGTCCAGGATAACGTTACTAGGTAACGCCTGCGTAACAGATATGTTGGCTTGTTCGTCTTCAAAAACTATAGTTTTACGTTTTTCTTTAGTGTTATTATCCAGAATAACGTTACTAGGCAACGCTTGTGTGATTGATATATTCGCTTGAGCATCTTCAAAAACTATCGTCTTTCGCTTCCCTCTATTTGAAGTTTCATCAACCAGAATATTCGTAGGAACGGCCTGTGTTATTGATATGTTTCCAGTGTCATTCTCGTACACAACAGTGCGACGTCTTTCACTTGGACCGGGGTCGCAAAATAGTTTAGCTGGCAAAGACTGTGTTACAGATATATTGCCCATACTTTCGTTAAACACTATGGTTCGTCGTTTACTCGAACCTTCATTCGCAACCGCGGTATCACTTATGATATTAGTCGGCAAAGCTTGGGTCATAGATATATTACCAGTCTGGTTAAGAGCAGCTTTCTTTGGAACATCAACAGCGAAGGAAGTAGAGCCGCCATCCCTACTAACGAACGCAGAGTTATCACATTTCGAATTGAGCATATCATCGACAAAATTAGGCAAGTCATCGTTTACGTTCAGCACTATAGTCTTTCTTTGAGGAGTTTCAAAAGAGGTTGACGGCAAAAGAGTCTGTCTATAATTCTTCTCAGTTTCTGGCTCCGGTTTATCAGGCTGCAAAGTTAAGCGCTTACCATCGAAAACCAGGACTTGATTCGGTTCTTCATGGACGGCGAAATTATCCGCTTCGCAAGGTGTAACATATGGATTAACAGCTATATTCTCTTTATCAGCTACCCAATCAGGATTTAGACTAACTTTCTTATCTATCGAAGTACTTTTGGAAACATCTTGAACGGGACTGTGGATTGTGTCTGTGATAGACATGTCCTCATCATTGCGCGCGACGTGTGTCATGTTAAGATCAACTTCAATATACTCGGACAAACTCTGTCGACTGCTAAACGGACCGTGACACCCCATATTACTAGGTCCCCTCTCTAAATCCCTCTCAATCTCATCCAGATCGTCTTTCTGACCTATCTCCTGTATATTTGAGAAATTAACATCGATACGACCGGAGTTCTCACCTATGGTGGACGCAACGAAGTCATTTCCGAACAGTTTACTCTGCTGTTCTGTAAAAGTGCTTAGTTCGAAATTATTTAGGGGAGCTGTGAGTTTGGTGTCCGTTGTACAGTCGAGGGAAGCAAGTTGTTGGGTGAAATTGATGTTGTTTAAAGAGCCATTGGACATAAGTGAAGGGTTGACGTTCCCTATGAAGTCGACTGCCTCAACTTCTTCAAATTGTTGATCAAATATTCGTTTCCCTAAATGTCCTACAGGCTGTCTAGATGCATTGGCTTCGGAATCGTTACTGGAAGATTCTAGCGATTTATTATGTTCCTCGTAAAAATTCTTCCAAGTTGTCGTCGCTTCGTTCGTTACGAATTCGCTGTGGACAAGTACGATGGGTAATTTTAATGAAATTAAATCAAGCAGGTATATTACGGTGTAGGTACAGAGTATTATTTATTTTTAGAGAAATAATTTGAATGTTCAACAAAACAATTTGTTTTTAATTTTACAAAACCTTTTAGGGATGCTAAACTTATCATAGAAAGTGTGTGAGAGCCATGCTTCGGCACGAATGGGCCGGCTTGACCGAAGTAATACCACAGCCTCACAGAAGACCGACGTGAAACAACGCTTGCGTTGTGTTTCGTCGTGTGAATGAGGTTACGGGATCCCCAATTACCCCTCCCCCTCTTCCCCATCCCTGAATCCCCAACAATCTTCAAATCCCTAATACTAAAAAGCTGATAATGCACTTGTAACGCCTCTGGTGTTCCAGTTGTCCATGCGCGACTCCGATTGCTTACCATCAGGTCATCCGCCGGCTCGTTTACCGGTTTATCCCATAAAAAAAAAGTAGTCAACTATCACGATTTGTAAAATCTCTGAGAAGGTTAAGCAGCTGTAAATATATTAAACTAGCTTCTGCCCGCGACTTCGTACGCGTAATCCCATTTTTTCCCGTCCCCGTTCGTGATTTTCGGTAAAAAGTAAAAAAAAAGTATTGGTTTAAAAGTATCCTATGTCGGTCTCCTGGCTCTAAGCTACTTCCCTACCAATTTTCAGCCAAATCTATTCTGGCATTCTTGAGTTATAAGTGGTGTAACTAACACGACTTTCTTTTATGATATAACAATCAATTATCTATCATGTTCTCTGTTCTTATGAGTTTCAAGTAACAAGGACTGAGTATAAAGGTGAAAGAAGTTCTTTCAAAGAACACTTATTCGAGCCGAAATTCTGATTCGGACAATTCGATGCAGGGAAGTTTGTGTGTGGATTCATGAGATTTCACATAGAAAAATCTAGAAATCGTTTTGTTTTCCACATTCAACATGTTCGGTTAAGTGTGCGTCCACCTAAAATAAAGTAATACTTCCACACAGTGAAAAAACCCAAGCAGAGTCCTAAATTTTATTATAATGTTCGTCGGTATATTAATTTAAAACTGTAGACAGGTATTTTTTCTTTTCTCACAAAATTAAATACTTTCGACGACATATTACTTTGAAATATCGTGTGACGTCACAGCGTGCCACATTTTGTAGCACGTTATGACGTAACAACTTCCCACTCCTAAACTTAGCGCCATTTTATCTAAGTATCGCAAATTAATATGAGAAAATAAAAAAATACGTGTCTAATATTTTTTTATTACCTAACTGACGGACTAATTAGATTTTTAATTTTGATACCCTGGAAACTACCCAATTGTGACCATTATACTAATAAGATGGTGTGAATGGTGTATGAAAATAATTCAACAGCAGTAATCTACTTACGCAACACCCGTTCTTCTAGAAAAGCTGACTCTTCGACTCTTAGCGGTGTCAGTCGGAGTGGCAACATTAAACTCGAGCTCGGAGAATGGGGTGCGGGCTGGACGTTGGCTCTTCAGTATTGATGATCTGCGTTTTCTACTGTAAATATATACAAATACATAAAATACATGATTTTAATATTAATCTTACTATAATATTGTAAACTAGATGTTGCCTGCTACTTTGTCTACATAGAATATGAACGTACCTAAAACATACCTAACACATATTTTTTGTTACAATTAGCCAAAATAAAAGTAGCCTATGTTACTCTTAAGCCCATATATCCCCAAGTGGTCACCGGTAACCTCTCTCCACTAACTATATTATAGACCTTATTTCCAATGTTTAAAGACTACTTTTGTATGAACAAATTTAGGGGATGATTTATAACAATTTTCCACAGGTTAGTACATCAGGAACCTGCCAATAAAAGTCTTGCAGTTCAGTCATTCCAGAGATTAGCCAGTACAAACAGACAGACAAAAATTTAACAAAATGTTATTTCGGTATGTGTATATTCATATGCATGTAGTAAAAAGCGGTTAATATTATAAACAAACACTCCAGAAGAAATATGCAGGGATTTGGAAATACAAATAGAAAAGAACAAAAACAAAAGGAAATATTGACCAGATTGGAAATATATTAACACATTGGATGTCATGTCAGACAATGATGCCCGACACTAATGGAGGCTCAAAGAAGGATCATATTAAAAGTACCCTTAACCGTGAAATATGCATGAAAAGATTGATCACTGTTGATGAAGTGAAAGAGGTATACATAGAACAAAACATAACATAACATCACGCCTTTTATCCCCGGAGGGGTAGGCAAGGGTGCACATTATGCCACTGTACAATGTAACACCCACTTTTCACTATTTATGTTACGAGTCCCATGTAATAGGGGGTGAGCCTATTGCCATATTATACCGGGCACAATTCCAGACTCAGTGCTACTACTGAGATTTTTTTATAAACCCACTAGTACTTTGCCCGACCTGGGAATCGAACCCGAGACCCCTTGCCCGGCAGTCGCACTTGTGACCACTCGGCCAACGAGGCAGTCTACATAGAAATCGTAGCAATTAGCATTCCACAGTCTCTGCCTACCCCCATGGGAGACAGGCATGAAGTTATGTATGTATGTATGTATGTATGAAGGAATAGAGTATAAGACAAGGTAGGTGAGACTAGGTACTTAAACAGGAGATTCATACAGTATAAAGTCAGAGAACCATATTAATTTGTTAGTTTAAACGCGCTTATCTCAGAAACTACAGGTTTGAATAGAATAATGAATTCATTTAGTGTTGGATTGCCCATATATTGAGAAGGGCTATAAAACATCACAATGTAATCATATGAGCCAAGCAGCAGGTGAGACCGCGCGGGAATTGCCACTCTCATATAATTTTTTTTTTTTTTTTTTTTTTTAAGGGGGGAAAATCATCGAATGACTGCTCCCGCCTGGGTGAGGCGGAAGGGAGTGTCAGACTCTTACTGACTAAAAACCACCCCGTTCCTTCTCCTGCACGTCGAGCCGGAGCCCCGGTTACCCGTTAGGTTCTCCGCGACACTCTCATATAATAAGAAACATGTATTAAGTATTCCAACATGTTTTTAGGCAATGAATCTTATAATGTTATAAGAATCTACTTCGAGGGTCATGAACTATCGTAAGCAGGTTAGAACAAACAATAAAACAATTTAAAAGTAGTTTGTACAACGCCAAGAGAGTATAATTACATATCATTTGGAAATACAACTTACGTCGCCGCGGCATCAGATGCCCTACTCTGTGCTGTATCATCCATTATATCAGTCACTAAATTATTTAATTCTAACAACAAACCACATCTAACTCATCACTTTATTCTCATAAACTAAGAATAAACGAATATTTATTTGTTTATTTCCAAACAAAGTCTTTCAAAACACAACGGCCGCGGGCATTCAAAATCACAGACTACTTAGAGATACTACGTATCAGACTGCCAACTTCAGAACAATAATTCTCACCACAGACTGCAAGTACTTCTAATGTTGTTTGACGTTTGTTTTTTTTTAATTTCTAAGGAATTGGAATCAGATGCAACTTGGAACACCGCCTTTTTGCACTTGATATATTTGTTCTAGTTTAGTATTTATTAGTCTATATTTTCTATTGCTGTCCCACTGCAGGGCAAACTATTACTGATTTTGAGAAAAACATAAATAAAACAAGGAATTATTTATTAAACGATTTATTTTTTAATTTCTTTTTATATTTTTCTAATGCTTGTCTTTGCATCGCAGGCAGATTCCTATTTTCCAGTCTGATTAAATCCGTGCCCTTTAAAATTCTGTTAATCATGTTGCACCAATTGATTATTGTAAATCTCACAACTAAAGCTAAAAAATGATTTAGAACAACTGTCTTATGTTCAGTACAGTGAATGAAATCAAATGCATACTTGGAAACAATAACATCAATAACAGTTGATGAAATGTTATTTTTATGAGCATTGTGTTCCAAGTATGCATTTGTTTCAGTTATTACTGTACCGAAACACCTTACTGCGCCTTCAGATGGGTAGTTCAACCTTTTTCCAGCTGCCGTATATTCGCGATGGTTGACCCAGTCATGGATACTACTCTGAGTAGTTGTCAACGAGTTTTTACATGCATGGCAATTTAATTTAAATTTATCGAAGATTTTCCGAACTACCCATCCAGTAGTGTAGGCTCGCGAGTGGACATTCAATCGTTCTCGTCGAGCCTGCTCGACAATCACTTCAATATTTTGATCACTATTTGGATGACCCTGCTCGACATTCTCACTTGCATCATGCATGAATAGGGATTGTAAATTTATAATTTGGTCTGCAGAGTCATCCTCACAATTAAAATTTTGGTTGTGAAATTTTATAATTCTGGTAATTAACAATGATTTAAAGGTGCAACTGAAGCTGTGGCAGCTTGGGTCATTATGTCTATAATTATATGCCCTTACTTGACCAAAAAAGTTTTCGATAGGATCCGAATTAAAATATCTAGGTCTCATTATTTTTAAACTATTTTTTTTGAAATTCTGCCACAGCCTCATGTAGCTTTTTATAGTCACTATAAAATTTACTAAAGAGGGCACAGATTTTTCGTTTCCTTTAGAATCAATAAATCGAATTCTCTCTAATTTCTTTATGGCTTCTTGCCAAAACTGGTGGTGAGGTGATTTTTCTACCACTGCTGTTCTCAGGATTTTTCCTTTGTTCCTTTTCGAGAACAATGCAGCTCCATTGACACTGTCAAATAGTTGGTCAAAAAATAAAACTGTATCTGCTGTGTTCTGCAAAGTGCTACTGACAGGTCTTCCATCTGCATAATGAGCTGAAAAAGAATTTTATGTTTAGTTTTACAAAATATTATAACTCATTTCTATTTCAGTACTTTACAAAACCTTATTATGTACACAGAGTATTAATTTTAACATTTTCTAGCGGTTCGGCCAGCACTTTTGTATTTTGAATAACTACCTTATACAGTAAAGTAATGCTGAGATAAGAAGTATTTTGCATGTTAATCAAAGTCAAATGATAAGTGTAAGTTTGAGATAGGATTATATCAGGTACTTACAAAATTTAGCAGTGTATGACAAGGCGGCAGATACAGTTTTGCTAAAGACCTTTACACAATTTTTTACCTGAAAAATGAAAAATACATATTAAAATCTGTCGTAATAATAACAAAATCTTATGGTCACTGTTCTCGTATAAGATACATACCTTCATTTTTTTAATTTTATCTGGAATGACATGTTGGTCATTTAATTTGTGAAGAAGTCTGGCTTCTGTATGATGGCAATCTGTTTTGTAAACATCAACAATGTCTTGCCATTTTGATATTTTTCCATTAAATAAAATATTTTTGTTTAAAAAGTTATTTCTCAGGCCCTTTATTAGGTGTGATGGGTCATATATAATGCTTAGATTGACCCCACTTATTGTAACTGTGCCATCTGAAATTAGTAAATAAACATGTTAAACTAAATATAATTCCAAGAGTGCCATCAAATTTTGCAATATCTAGTTTAAAAAATTGGTTGTTAATACAACTTGGCAATACAGGTTCCTTAACCTTTTGAGCGCCAGGGTCACAAATACGTGACAAGCGAAAACTGTCCCTGAGCGCCAACGACACAAATATGTGACAAAAACAGCGGTACATTAAAACACGAAATAAACTATTTAAACATTACTTTAATGCCTATTTATTTATATACCTGTAAAGTAGAAGGTCCAAAATTTATTTATTTCCATAAAACTAATTAAATTGCATTATAAATATTGAGAAATTTTACGTTAAAAAGAAAGAAATAAACTCTGAAAAAAGAATGTCCTCACACGCCAGAGTCATAACTGCGTGACCGCTAGTGATGTAGCGCATGTTGGATAATATCATTATTTCAAATCAAAGATCGGTTCGAAACTTTCCTCTGGAATATATTATTTTAGGTATAATTTGGTACTAGGATAAAGCAGCATTAATTTTATAAAACCAGTCTTAAAAATCATTCAATAAGCTACATAGTCAAAAATAAAATTTGGTTGGGTCGAATTTCGATATTCACTAATCCCAACTCAAGCGCATCCCTAACGCAACCCGAATTATCAGTACCCTGTACGCCATGGTCACGACTAGACGACAATATCGTGACGTCACAAGCGCGGCGACCAGAAATTAGTGAAGTGAATGAATAATATTTATGATTAATTTACTTGTGATATCGAGTTCAAGATTTATATTAAGTGACTATTATAATGAGTGGGAATTTAATGACTACGGCAGAAGAGCGAGAGTATTTGACTCGAAACTTTTATTCTAAGTGTGGGCTCCATATTTACCTATAACTTCGTGGAATAAAGTCTGCCAAAAGTTCCTTTTTTAGCCACGGTGCGCGCTGAGATCGATTTCACTGTCCCCACCACCCACTTTGCACCCAGCGAATTAGATGATCAGAATGCAGGTTGCATTGTAGATTTTGTATAATTTTGTTCTATTATTCAAAAGATTTATTAGTATAAGACTGATTGGTAATTGTGATAATTATATATAATCGTTAATTGTTTTAATTTGTTACTTTTTATGCCAGGTTTATAGAACTTAATATTTAAAAACATGTATACATAGTACATACTGTATAACATTTTATTAAAATTTTCTATTTTTTCATAGTTTTTATTTACCTTCTTAACCTATTTCAATCATATATTTTTAAGTACCTGTTACATTCGGAATTATAAATCTGATTTAAAAAACGTGTTTCATTTATTATAAAATAATATTGTACTAGAACATCGATAAACGAGATATTACGTTGCCACATCCTTATTTCGGAAGCGAAGTAGTTATTAAAATGGCGGGCCGTCCACGCCATGGTCACAATATGAAGACAGCAGATCAAGAATAGTGTTGTACCTACAGTTATTATATTTAAATATATTGTAGTCTCATATCTGTTATTACGGTATTATACAAGTCTGTAAATAGTGTATAACTATTACTTTAATAGGAAGAAATGTAATGATGAATTAAATTTCAATGTTATAAGGACATTATATTTCGAAATTAAAGACGAAAATGAAAATAAAATTGATTATCGATGAAGTTTTGGAATCCCTATTTTTTTTTGTAGGTATTTGCGGTGAATTTGTGGCCTGGCGTTGAGGGCAAGTTCATGCGTTTTTGCTCTGGCGTTCAAAAGGTTAAACCTACCACTGACCCATTTAATTCGTCTCAACATTAATTGAAATTACTCTCAGTAATGGAGACTAGCCTCACTAAACTCATGTGGATTTACTTAGAAAGACAGTAAATTCACATGAGTTATTTTCAACTGTTATTTTTACTTCATTTAGTATACCTCACAATAGGTATTATACAAAGCTCATTCCCAACATTTTAAGATTTTATCTCATAATGGTAAATATTTACAAATGTTTTTCTAATACATACATGAATAGCTAGTAGTCTGGAAGTTAATAACTAACCTGGTTCTTGATTTGCCAATAATTGATCACGCGTTGTGTCTGCTTTCAGGCTTCTTAGAGCTGATTGAAAAGCTGCTCCTTGGTCACAAATTAAAGCAACTGGCTTCAGCCCACATTCCACTATGGCAGAAACTATGTCTTTTAAAATGACTTTTAATTCTAGCCCTGAGGTAGCTCCTTGGCAAAAGTAATAGGCCACTGGTTGCTGCCATTTACAAACAGCTCCTCTCAGCAAAAACACTAAAGCATGATCAGCAAACTGATTTTTTTTAATGTTGAGTTCCACAAATCCATTTATTGTATCTTTATTTTTATTATAATTTAATGCTGTTTCCAGTGACATTTCATCGAATACCACTGAACACATTTTCTTATTATCTGCCCATGATGCTATCTGGAAACCAATAAACAAATTAAAGCCAACCGGTTAGAGGGAGTTTAAACCCGAGTTTGATATTTATATTTCATAGTAAAAGTACAAACCTCTTTTTTCATTAATTCAAAAACTTGAGGGCAAATTCCTGTGTCAATATTTAATTTTGTCACCATCTTATTTAATGTCGACCTAGATGGCAATATAAAGATTTTGTGTAAAAATCTGTAGCATTTGGGACTTTGCTTCATAATTGACAATGCAATTAGCTTTTCCTCCCATGTGAATCGACGACCTTTCTTATTTCTAGTGCAAAGATTAATCTGCATTTTCAAAATTTTTTTCGCATATGGATTCATTTGAGCTGTTAACTTTTCAAAAGAAGTTTCTTTATTAAACTTCAGAGCTCTCTTAG